TGAATAAAAAAAGTTGTTAAATTAAAACCCTTTGAGTATTGCATTTATGTTAATTAATTATGCATGAATTTGCATTAACTGACTAAAAATGTTTACAACTTACTTGCACTATACTACTGACGTAAAATTCCATTAAATAACTTAAAATGAGACCCTTTTTTTTTTTTTTTGCCCTCAGCTAGACTTAAATAAGTGCAGCTGCACTTAGTGTTTGCTGACTGATTGGTATTGCAAGAAACCAGTAGAAAATATATTGTACTCTCACTTACTAAGGTGGCATTTCTAACTAAGTTTGACGAATCTCTACTTGCTACTACACTTGTTCCCCTGTTCTTGTAAGCAGTAAGAACAAAGGGGCTTTTTAAAATGGCAAAAGGCTTGTGCAATTTCTAGGTTGCTTTTAACATTCTGACATTCAGTAAGAGTGATCCAAACTGTACCCCTGTAGATGAAGATTATTAATAAAATAGCTGCATCTTTAGCTAGTCATTATTGCAGTGACTGAGTTTTAAAAGGAATATCAACATAATTATGCACTTTTTGTTCTTGTTTGTCAAAAACACTGCCAAAAATTTCAATGCAAACATACCAAATATTCTGCAAAATTTATTCTTCACTAAGCCTTCTTTTAATTCTAAAGATTCTCTTTCACAGTACCAGAGTATTCCAATAGTAACCTACCGCAGGTGATTTTCAGAATAGTCTGAATATATTTTCTAAACATTTATCTTCTAAGGGCATCTTAGACAACTTCCTATCTGAAGAAACATGTTTGATTTTCTTTATATATTTATGCAATTATGAAAACAAGGGAGCTGAAGTACTGTTTTCTATTAGACAGTACACATCAATGGCAGTGAATATTTTGCCTACATTGATTGAGCTCAAAACCATTCCTGTATAGTATGCAAGTATTTACTTTAGACATAATTAAAAACAATTCTACAACACTATCAGCTATTTCAAAGTATATGCTCAATGGACTAATTAATTTATCTAAAAAGCTTTGTTTCCATCATGTAACTTACAATGCTCAAAGGGTTAATGCAAGACATTATATTAAATTAATTTTCTAATACTAGAACTAAGCATTGTGTATTTATGCTTCTATTCCAGTTTTTATTGTTTGTTATAAATCACCAAACAAATTATCAGAGATACTAGAATTTCATTTATTGATTTGTTTTAAACCATACAGAAAGAGGATGTCCTGTTAGAGAGACAAGGGCCCAATTTTCAGAAATTCATACTGCTCTCTCAATTGAACGTTTTAAACTCTGAAATTATTGTTGTAATATATTATATTACTAATAAATCTATTTTTCATCAGCACTTTTATGGCTATCAATGGTTGTTTTTATCTTGTAAAAACATTCTGAATTAAATTGGGTTGCAGTGCATCTCTATTAAAAATTTTTTTCTAAACAGTGCAGATGTCAATTGGTGATAATGACAAAGATATCACATAATTTCTCCTAGGGAAAACAAGGTGAACAAGAGAAGTGTTTTAGATATTTAAAAATACCTCGCTTTAAATTAAATTTGTATATAGACCTATACATTCCTAAATGACAGAACATTATCTATTTTCTTATTTTTGAACTAAAGGCAGCAATGCTGTAAATCATCATTTTATAGGTAAATAATTTAAAATCTATTTTCCAAATTTTTATGGAACTTTTTTTTTTAAAGAAGGTGCTTAGAGCATGCTACAGTACAAGAGCAAAACATAGAAACAATAACTGAAAACAGAAAAAAAAAAGGCAGCTTTAAAGTTTATATACCATAAGAAATATGAAAAGGTACCAAGAAAGTTTAATAAATAAAAAACTTTTGAAAATTGGGCCCTGTGTTTTGAAAAGGTAGTTCAGAAATACCCATTCCCCCACAGTGTTCACTGTGCTATTTGTGCTAATGGGGGAAATGCCTTGGAAATAATTATTTTGGATTCCATGTCAAGATTAGATAAAAAACATAAACCATGTCAACTCTCATAATGTCTACCCTATGGATACATGCTACACCTCTCCAGAGCATTAACAACAGACTTCAGAGCTGGTGTGGCAATGCAACCACATGCTACACATTATAGAATACAGACTGAGGTATTTGTATCTCTGTAGTTTAATGATTACTAAAACCCAACTGTTAAATAGCAAGAGTGTGCAAAATGTTTTATCTAAGTGTTTGATTAAAATTTCAGTAAACGTAAAAACAAAACAGAAGACTCCCAAACCTGTAAGTATACAATGGCAGCTTACAGTAACATAATTCTAAAAAAAACTGGTAAAGTCTTTAGAATTTAAGCATAGGAATACAAACTCCATTCAGTTTTCTGAACCTGGGATAGCTCCAATTTGTTTTGCTAACTCATTATTTTTAGAACCTATGAAATACATTCAATCTTTGTATTCAGATTTTTGTTCAGATTTGTTTTGCACTTTGTGAGCAGTGAACAACTGAGTGGAGTGGGGAGTTAAATAATGAAAGATAAGTCAGGTCCCACCTTCTGTAGCAATCTAGATTTACCTATCAGAATCGTACTCTTTCCTCAGCAACAACAAATCCAACATTAAACCAAGAAAAGACAAGAATAAGAAAACATTATAGGTCCATCAACACAAAAACTGAAACAAGTACTACAGTATTAAAAAAAGCTGCAGATGAAAAAATGTTGAATTATGTCACTTTAATTGTAAACATCTTATAATGCACAACGAAGGGGAGTAAATATCTATCACAGCTTAGTTTTAGCATTTTTGGTGAAGGGTACAGATGTGCTGATTTCCAGGGGAAAATCAGGACACACTGAGTGATATATGTGAGAACAAAATTTATAATGAGATTCAGTGCATTTATGAGTTTAGAAATAATGAATATAAGCCTCACTTTCACTTTTTACTGAAGCAAAAGCCATCTACTGACAATAGTAGGAATTATGCCTACATAGAATGAGCAGGATGGGTTCACCTCCCAATTCTGCAAAGGAATTAAAATTTAATTTTGTACACCAATAATGTTAGGACATTTTAGTTGATGTGCAGCTGTATTTGGAGCATATGTAAACTCTAGCAACAAACTTGTTTGCTATAAATATGCTGTTCATTTTACATGCTCTTCTCCCATTTGGTATATATGACTTTAAAGCCATTTTCAGACACACTAGATAAACCAAAATAAAAGAATCCCTAATTTTCTTACACAGTCTTTTCTGTAAAGTTGATCTTTTTGTGCTCTCCCTCGCTTTTTGGCTTTTTTACTTATTTAATCCCACTATTTTAGTGTAGCAAATTCATGTGTCTGCATAATGAAATGTTTAAGAAAAATTTTAGTTGTTTAATGTCAATTAATATGGTCTCTATAAACTGTCATTATTTAACCATTAAAATGTAATATCTGGCTCATACCCCACAAAATATAGAAATTGAAAACATGCACTGCATTATGTACCTGCTCATTTATTTAATTTTTGTTTTTAAAATTAAAAGTAGGAAAGGGTTTAGAAAATATATAATCATGCTTGGGACTATGGTCAATCTATTTTGACATTTGAAGTTGGTATTAAAGCTAGTTTTGCTTTCCAAATTCCCAAGCAAATTTTATTTGTAATAAAGTGAAATCCAGCTAGAAACAAGAAAAAATAGGTTTATTGTCATTCCAAGAGGGATATTAACATCATTTAATAATAAAAAATTCCTTTTATTCTTTTGAAGGCTATGTAACCTGTCCTTACTTCTTAGGGAATTTGAAAATGACAGGCACACCTTGTTGAATTAATTTAAGAGTTAAGAATAACAAAAAGTACTAAGTCTTAGCTTCAGTTCTGTTTAAGGCACCATGTAATAGCCGAGGTACAATGATCCCTGATGTACATTCTTAAATGGCAATGGTCCATCTAGCCACCTATTCAAATTCTACACAATTGGGAATAAGTACAAGTGAGGTGTGCCAGCTACACTGCCTTATCTAATTTTTGTAAAAATTTAAATCCACTTTAGCAACAAGGAACTATTTTTGAAAGGAAAATGATGCAGGTTGCTACATTCCTTGCATTCTATAAATCATCTTTTCTAAGAGCAGCAGATTGAACCACTAGTAGGAAAAGACCTGGAATAGAAGAAAGTCATCCAAATGGAATGTTTTCCTATATGTCCAGTTCAGCATAAGTAGCATGTACATTTAAAATCAATGATAATAATCAAGTCACTTCTTTAACTTCAGTTTCTAAAAACTACAGTACCACTTGACAGCCAAAATAACCTGGTCAGTGGCCCTACATATAGAATCAGTAGTCTTCAAAACAGAGGAACTGGTATGCAAATAATATCTGGAACTGTTGATTTTAAAGGAAGCTTGCATTGTTTGCATGATGGTCAGATAATTAGGTACGTTTATGATGTACACATTACCACATTCTGTTATAATTCTGTCATTTAAACTCGCTTCTTGCTCACAGAAAGAAACGAGATCTTCCCAACTCTCCAGCGTTATTACAAAAATTCCCCCTGAATGCTCACAATTTTATCAAAATAGTGTCTTCTCGTTATCCAGTGAAAAGCACCTTTTATAACAAACTTGATACATCTGCTGTCAAATAAGTATGCCTCCAGTGTAAATCAAAGAAAATAGTTCTTTTGATATTTCACAGAAGTGCATCTAATTAAAAACCTATCTGACTGAAATCATCATAACTAATAATAAACATTAAAATATTTTTAAAAACTATGAAAAAATTTAAATTATTATTATAAGAGGACAAAAACATTAACATTAAGCTTTGCAAAAATCTTCCTTGCATTTGATACTAAGAAAACTCTTCATTTTGAGTGGCCAATGTAAAATGTTTCTGTTTACAAAAAAACTTTTTTTTAACAGATCTGGCAAAATACATACACCCATTCCATCTAACAACTCCAATAAAATAATGTTCAGCACAGCTAAAATTTGACAACAGTCGACTTTCAGACTCATTATCTTTATTTGGTTTTTTTTTTTTTTCATATTAAACCCAAAGGGCTAGTGTAATGGGGGGGGGTGTCACAGGGGGAGGTTTCATATTAGACTGCGGTATATGTATTTCCAGTAGCACTACATTGTCGGATAGTCTGAGTGGTTGCAACAATGTGCTCATTATGAATTGGGTTCAGGAGGTTCTGCTGTACTCCACTTTCAAGCACTGGCTGCATGCAGCCCACCTGGAATGCCTGGTTTAGCTCTGTTTTCTCCCTCTTGGCTTGTGGCTCTCCATTTTCATCCAGCTCTTCATCTATTTCACTTTCAACTTCACTGCCCTCATCTGCACAAACAAACCACCATGAAACTAACACAAAGGGAAAAATTCTAATACAAGGGCCTTTATTTTGCAAATAATAGTTAGAATACAAAAATACAGGATAGACTAGCAATCTGATGAAGCACAAACTAAAAATTTAAACTTTTAATGGAAAAAGTCAATCATTACCTCAAATAAGTAGACTCAGCTTTCATCACTTGAGTTACAGATACACTATGTGGAAAAAACAACTGCAATCTCAAAACAGATCTCTAACAATCTTAACTTCATGTTGCAAAATGCCTCTCTAAGACATGATGAACAAAAGAGTTGTTACTCTTAGTCACAGATAGGGAAACAGGTGAAGAGATTTGGAGTGACTTGACCTCAGATTTTGACATAAATTCTTATACTTACTAGTTGAGCAATCTGGGGTCAAGTCACCCCAAGTCACTCAACTAGTTAGTGTAAGAATGTATGCCAAAACATGGCATGAAGACATTAACAGGAATTCATTTCTTTCTATCTTCTTCACTGAGAGGTTACTTGGCAACTATTTGCATGCAATTCTGCCTTCTTTACTTAGGAAAACATTTACTACAGATAAACATACATAAGCATACTCTTGTCTTCCCATAGCTGTTACCCTCCTCTGTCTTATCAGATACAACTGCATAAACACTGGAATATTTCTTGTGTCAATAATAAACATCTTTAAACTATATTCTTACCTTAAAACAAACCTGCGATATTCTAGTCATTATTACATGCTGTATATTACATAGATAGCTTACTGCACCCATATAATATGTTAGCATATCCATATACATTCAATTTAAAGCATGATACAGCTCTAAAGTTTGTTTTACTACATTTTTAAAACATAAGGACATATTTTGATCAGAGACACATCATTCTGTACAGACTTATACACTGGAGAGATTAAAATGCTTACCTTTATCCATGTTTCCAGGGGACACAGCATTTAAATCACCAAACTGCAAAATAAACGATAAAAAAACTTGGACACAGTCTTAAGCAAATGTGAACTTAGAATTTCTGTGATGGAGCCCATCTGTGCTTCACTGGTTTGAGGCTAGCATTCAAACATGATCTTGGCTGCAGTCACATCCATAGTACAGCAATTCATTTTCCATTCCATCCTAGCCTTGTGCTTATTAAGACAATTATCGCTAAGTAAACCCTCAAAAATTAAAATGGGGAAGTACAAACTTTTTGAAGATTTCTTCATCAGAGTCTTTGTTGCTTTAAGTGAGCTATTTCTTTGTTGTATAAAGCCATAAATCATGATGGATATCCATTCTGAACTGCCAATATTTTAACAAAAAGCTCTTTTTAAATTTTCCCAGGGACAACTTTATTTGTGCTGGCACAAAAATGAAGGTGTATCACAGTGTTGCAAATCTACCTGTAAGGTAGATGAAAGGCACTGCTGAGAAAGGGTTTACAATATGGTAACCGATCTACTTATATCAAAAAAAGACCTTTTTGAAAAAGTTGCTCACAAGCTAGATGTGCAACCTTCCTCCCTTTCCTTCCCCAAATCCTCTAAGTTTCACTTAAATAAGAATCATCAGAGAAAAATTGTATCAACGTATCTCAAATGAAAGAAGCACATTACTTGGATAAATACATTTCTAACTGTAAGTGATGAAAACAGTCCTTTTCAGAAGAATTTTGCCAATACCTGTGCCCAAAGTTGGGAGAAGAGAAAGGGAGAAAAATGAGAATGCTTTTCTCAGCTGCAACACCAGTTTATACTGTCTCATGGTGTTTGTCAGACCACAGTCTTAGACTTCATCATTTTATTTTAGTCACAGTCATTGAATGCACAGAAACATAAGACGACACGCATTTAGTGAGTATTTACTACTTCTGTTCTGCCCTTCTCACCTCCAAAAATTTTGGGTTACTTACTTCCTCATAATATCTCCATCTTCAGTCTACATAAACTTTTTAGAAGAGCCTGCACTACATATATGTCTAACATATACAATGTCTATTAGTAAGACAAGAATGTAGTAGCTGTATACTTGTGTAGTACCTTACTGCAAATATAAAGCAGAGATGAAGCAAATATACTATTGGTGGGTCACTAAGCAGGAACATTGTTATTTAGTTTTTCTGAAACATGTCATAAATCATGACATGACTTAAAAATATGATATAAAATCATTTGACAAATAAAGCTAACCCATTTCCAATTTCTCTTCAAAGCATAGCACTATTTATAGTATTTAATGAGCCTATCAATATATCTTGAGGGAAGAATGATACCTGATACCAAATTATGTGCAATTTATCGGTAACATAAAATATGACACAGTGACTCCCAAGTGTAAAAATGTAACAAATCTGTCCCATTAACTATCCAGCATATTTTCAAATATGTCCATTTTCCAGCACTTTTGAAGTGCAGTTCTTTGATGATAATTCATTCATTCTTCATTGTGCGGGGAAAAAAGAAGGATAAGATAAACTTTGCATTGCAGATGCCACAGATGAGTATAAAAAACTGACTATGAGTTGAGACTCCTGCTCTATTTTTTTTAACCGATAGTCTTTGAAAAACATGTATGAAAATGAACTGTCTTGCAGACCTCCGTGTATGTCTGCACTGGTTTTATTACATGTATGTGAACAGTACTGGACAAGCCCAAACTCTGCATGTAAGCCATCTTTCTCAAGTCTATGGGGTACTAGCTGACATGTTAAATGTGTGCAAATATACATAAACAGATCCATGTAAGCAAAACTTTCCTATTACTCTGTTGTTTTCTTATATTCACATAAAATATTCAGTTCTCAAAAACTGGAAAAAGGCTCTATGTTGATCAACATTTTTCAAACTGTGCACATGAATCTGTATGCAGATTTGTAAAGGAGCAAGTTCATTTGGAAATAACTGGTTGTTAGAATTCAATGTGATTTTAGTACTCTGACAATCAACCAATGAAACAAGTTTGAAACTGTTGTATGTATTTGTAACCCGATCTATTGTTATATTGCAGAACGTCCTACAGCTCCACATAAATGTTTAAAAAATTTGCAAAGACACATACCCAAATTCATCACTAAACCTATCAATCTAGTCTCTTACATATTATCTTACCTCTCCCATAACTGCAATAGGTGTCTCTCCTGTTGCCTGAGCAACACGATGTTCTACTAAGTAAAACATGTATTCATCGTAAAGCAAGCGGATCAGATGAAAAGAGCCAAAGCTAGCAGCACTGCGCAAGGTTAAATCTCGAATCACCATTGAGCTATTCAAAAATAGAAAAATACATATATTTATGTATTATACGTCATAGCCATTTCAACACTTAATCAATGTAGACATTTCACCTCAAAAGCAATATTCTCTAAACTACCATTATCCACAAATGTCTGATTTTTGGTGTCTTTAGAAAGTGATATCCAGGAAAGGCAACCATTTGCTTCTCTCCACTCTCTGAAGGCATTGTTGGACATCACATTACATAAGAAATAACCAGATTGTTTTCTTTTCCGTTTTTCATTGTTTTGATACACATATAACTACTGATACTCGAGCATGTGTAAAACCTAACTTAAAAGAAAACTTTGTTGAAAACATAAACAACTAAAATGTTGAGAAAAAGTATTCAATTTTAAACAAACTAATGCTTAAAATATGTCTGTTCCCTCCACCTTCACCGTACAAAGGTTTTAATTGCCACAATTTCAAAACTTTGAAACTTAAAATTACAAAAAGATAGCCTTGTGCCTACATATTATATTGACAAACTATAATATCTTCAGCAAGTAGTTGCTACAGCAATTTTCAAAGAACGAGGTTTACTCTGATAACTGTTTCAATAAGCAGCTAACATGGAATGCTTGTCTTAATGTTCTTTTTAAACATTAAAAACAGGTTTTGACATCCTTATCTAATAAACATAGATAGCACAGTGTTTTAATAAATAACATTAAAAATAGTGGCTTAATAATTATGTAGATATTAGACCCAAAAATTCGTATTATGTTTCTAACTCAGGACAAAATTCCACCTGCATTCATTTGCACATGGCCTTTAAAACAATCAACAAGGATCATTTAAATTCCTGCCAATTTGCAAGTAGCCCCAAGTTCAAGGTTAACAACAATAATTTTCTGAAAAAACCCCCACGGTTTTCATGACTTAGTGAGCCACTGTTTGATATTACATCTGCCAACTTTACTATAGTCAACAATTCAGTAAACAATAGAATAGTTAGAAAGTTTTAGAAGTCTATTACATACTACCTGTAGAAAGACCATTTTAACAGAAATTGCCGTGCTGCTTTAGGAAAGCTTGGCCTTCCTTCATATGGTTTCAGTGCTTGCATCATTACATTATCAAGCCAGGCAGCCCACTGCTCCAGAGTGCTCTGCTGCTGAAGAGTCATCTTGAAATCTGTTTCTAGTCTCTGAACCATGTTGTCATCACACTGGCACACCCAGGAAGCCTGCTCCTGTTACAGCACATGGCAACTTTTGAATTCACGATACAAGCCAAAACACAGAATGTAATTCTTTCTCAAAGATTAACCAATTCAGTGGATAAAAAAGACAAACCCCACTTACTAGACAAGCTAAGAAGCAGTTTTTATTTTCATGTTTATCATAGTTTTGTTGAAAGCAAATGAGTGGGAAAAGCATAACGTATAAGAGCAGATAACAAAGAAATGAGAACAAACAATGGAAGTGACACAAGTATTTTGTAGTTTTCCACATTAATTTTCAAAAAAGGCTTCCACTTTCCTCATTCATCATTTTTCTATTGAAATATTTGGGACTTGTCATTTTTTATGGGACTACAGGCAGGGCAAGCAGGAAGAACAGTTAAATGGGAGGCTAAAGTATTAAAAGAAGTAGCAAGAAATCAAGTGCAAGGTTCCTTTTGTTCTGAAGAATTTAACCTTAAAGACAATTTCTGTTATATCATCTTATAAAAGAAAGCTTTGTATGTAAACAAGGATTGTTTTGTTTGCTGACTATAGGCAGTAATAGATTACACCTTACTTAAAGTACAACATAATCTGCATACAAATGGAGAAATACACTCTGCATAAAATAATAATAAGCAATTTAGTCAATGTTACCAAGTTTAAATAAGTCTTGCTGGTCAATTCAGAAACTAAGAGACATAAATGAAGACTCAGTAACTGCAAGCCATGCCCTTAAAGTCTAGCTATCATGTGTCAAGTTAACACCTCATTCACAGAGTAATGTGGATGTAAACTGGAACATTTCACTTTGCTGGGCAAAAGGAAAAAAAGTATTTTTGCTCAGAGGAGCAGAAACATGTGAAGAAATAAAGCTTAGTGAAAATACAGACTTACATTCTATAGCTAACTGGAAACTAGTTCTAATCTGTACTGATCTAATCTTGTAAATGTAAGCATAGGCACTTACATAACGTATACTAATGGTATTGTCTTTGAAATAATGAAACAGCTTCTACTGAAAACAATAATGTGCATTTAATGGCTTTTAGAGACATTCAGGAGCTATGCTACTATCTGAGATCCAATTCTAAGATATCATTTTTGCTATTACTAAGACACCATTCATGGTACCCATTCTAAGAATGTATTTGCTCTACATTTGCACAAAAGTTGGAAGAATATCTGTACTTCAAGACAGTAAATGGAAATGGATAATGGTTCTGAGCTCTTACTTTCCTAAAGTGTAAGATGTCATGTTTGGACTAAATTACTGCATATATGAATCAACAAAATGGTCTCACTTCACTTTCTTGATAGAATAATGACAGCCAACAATAAAGTTTAAAGCAATTTTTTTTAAAAAAAAGCCTTTTATTTAAAGCTATCTTTTACCTGAACATTGGCAAAATCAACACGGTTAAGATCATTGAGCATCTGGTTGATCTGGGAAGTATTTTGAAGCACGGCACGAGCTGCTTGAGCCAGGTGATTAAGAGATGTGTATCTTCGCAGAGTCTGGGCAAAGGCACTTACAGCGGCAACCTATGAAGAAATTAATTTATTTTAAATATTGTACTCTTTATCTGCAGATTAATTCTACAGATTGAGTCTTCACTTTCATTTTAATATTCTATATTAATGAGTCCTCATATGTGAATTATGACCATGTAGCAGATCAAACAATGTCTTCCTTAAAATTTTTTGAGAAAACAAAGTTATTTCCTTTCCCACTATTTAATGTTTGATGCTAAACATGAAATTTAGCATTAAAGTTAAAATGCTACTGCTTTTAGATGCTACTGCCCACTTGGATTACCACTGCATGAATAATACTGCGACAGTTTTGTCTACCTTGGTTTGTATCATCCTCTGTGGAATATTGTTCATGGCATTTGAAAGCCAACCTTCAAGGCTTTTTGCAAAATTGCGAATGGCTTGGGTCAAGGCACCTGTGCATTAAAGAATAAAAACAAATGAAAGGAAGGCAATGTACCTGTCTTGAAATGTTTTGCATCCTCAGTACTTACATACTCAACATTCGGGTCTGCTGCTTTTACTTACTAAATGACAAATCCCGTCTAGGTTCAAAATGCCTCATTCACATATAGATTATGCAACAATTATTACAGATTTGGTTTAATAAGCAGTTCTGACTTCCTCACCGAAAAATCTTTCCAAGAAGTTTGTGACCAGCAGTATTGTTTTGGGCAGTTCTAAGGAAGAACATCAGTAATTGCAGCAGTTGTTGTGATGGAAATTTCCATCACAAAATTCCAGTTTTCCATTTCATCTAAGCGCCTCTTTTAAAGACCAAAACTCTAGAAAAAAATCCGGTTATTGGAATACTGCAGTTTCCTCAAATAAGCCCAAAGTAACTTTAAGCCATGTCATGGTGCTGCTTACTTCAGTTTTAAAGAACAAAATCCAACATGAAGTGCTTAAGGTACCATCAATAAAGCAAGACATAACAGTGTGTTTCACTGACAGAAAGATTATTCAAATTGCTGTGGAATCTGTATGCATTTTTATTTCTTTACTATAGCACCCACAGAACTGCTGAGTGGCTGACAAACATTCAGAGAGAAACTGAAGAAGCCCTTACAGCAAACTGCACTACTCAAAAAGTAAGTTTTAATGTTTCAAAGGAGGAGGACAGGAAGTATTTTCCCAAAGAACTGTGCCGGGGGGTGGGGGGCGGGAATCATACCTCCTGAGTAGCAGAAACCTTGCTTTCCCATACCTACCACTTCCTCATTGACATAGTAGCATCCACTCAAACGTTTGCAAAAAAGAGACAAAATGAAAAAACGACAGGTTTCTAATGACGAGTAGAGAATGAATGCAACTATGAAAATGAAGAGGAAGAAACTAGAAAGAGGAAATAATATTTATTTTCTAACTATTTTAGCTACATGTGAGAAGAAAAGTCCAAGTAAAAACTGACTGGATTCTGTTTATAAGGCTGAATACTCTGGTAGAGTAAGAAATTAAGGCTGATAGAACTTGTCTTTGAGAAATGCTCTATCACCATTTGAATTATTGATGATCCCTTTTTTAATAAAGCTTTCTACTAGCAAAGTAAATTTACTAACAGAAAAAATGTTGTCTTCGTGACATCTTTTTCACGTCTTCAAATTTGCAGCAATAAGCAGTAGAATCCGTATCAGTAATTTACATAACTCACTTTTGATGCTTAGCTGGACACAATTTAACCTGACAAAGTATCTGTATTAGCTGAACACTCTATGGTGACAGGTTTTTTTCCCCCCTTGAGGTTTCCACATGAAGAACAAACTTTTTTCTTCAATACTGTCAATTACCTAACTCACTTGTGCTGCTTTTTAAATGATTTGTGTGCACTTCCTAATTAACTATGCATTCACTCACATTTTCTTATCTATAGAACAAGGAAATGCAAAGCAGAAAGAATAATGTGAATACTGTATGAATGTTACTTAGACCTTTAAGCAAGACATTACCGCTTTTTCACTTCTAATTTGCTTATTACTCTTCTTCACCCAACTATATATTATAAAATTATTTTCATCACTGTAATGCTGATCTCCTTTAAAAATATAGAAAAGCAGCTCAGGCCTTAAGAAAGGCCTTTAACTAGGAAGAAAGAGGGGCAAAATGAAAGGAATTCTAAGTTCTGGAGAAATAAAATAGCTAAAGTAGATAATCAGACAACAATTTTATAGAACAACCATGAATTTCTAATTAGCTTTGGAGATATCATATTAAATACAGAATTTTTCTCATACTCTGTCTTAAGTACACACCTAGCCATCACCAAAACCTTTAGTACCTACATTCTGAGAGACTTCTTTTAAGTTCATCTTGTTATAGGAGTCACTTCCTAGTTCCAACGGAATCCATTGTATAGCGTTAGTAAAAAGACTTAGACTGCAAGCTGTGAACTTTCACCTAGATATTGATGAACTTATACTGAACTCTTATTTAGTTACATGAGGGAAGGCCCCTAAACTGGTGTAAATCAGAAAGGTAAGATAGCCACATCCACGAGCAGAAGTTGCCTCCTTGAGAAAGCAAAAAGAACGTCTGGCCTGGAGACGGTGAAAGGATCCAGTGAGGAACAAGGAGACCCCAGACCCAAATACTATTGGACCAAACCGTCTCACAAGAGGAGGGGAACTTAAGACTGTAAGGGTGTAATTGCCCAGAGATTCTTTTGGTCGGGTTCTCTCTTCAGTGGCACCCAGATCGAGCTGTTCTTCACTGTTGTACCACGCAATAAATTCGTCTGGTATAAGTCATGTCAGAGATTCTGCTTCGGGAAACCTAGGGTCGAGCCTGAGGGAAGAGGAAGCACCCAAGAGTGAGTGTGTGTGTACGCGCAAAGAGTCGAAAGGGGCACCCGTCAGCTCACTGGAGTCACCCACTGCAAAGGGACTCCAGTCCTAGCAGTTAAAGTCTCAGGTGGTATGTGTGCGACTCCTTGATTGGTGTGTGTATGCTTGGGCAGCGGCTTCCCCCTTACTCTGGCTACCATATAAAAACAAGAAAACCATTTGAAAGAATCACATGATGAGTGTGGTGTGAAGTAACTGGCCTGCAATAGTTAAATGTTACTAGACACACACTAAATGATTTTGCAATGGCAGTTACTGATAAAAGTTTGACTTGGATAAGCACCTAAAAAGCTTGAATTCTCAGCTGAAAACCCTCTGACATGCAAATCTCGTAAAAGAAGGCTTTACAGTCTTTCCAGTACTTTAAATTTTTGTCTGCCTGGAATTGTGTAATATGGTGTGGAAATATGTTTAGCATAAATTCTCCACCTATGATAGAAACTAACTCACAGGCAAGTTTGTTACTGTCCATTCTGTCACTTGTGAAGATATAAAAAGTCCATTCTAACACACAGTTGCCCTGGTCTTTTGCCAAAGACATTAGGTAATTACGGTCTTGACTCCTGACTCAAATGGACAGCTTTTCACTTTTCTGAGGAAAAGGAACTTTGTTGTTTTATACACAGCAATTCCTCATTCATTTTGTGGGTGCTAGACATTTCAGGTGACAAATTCAACATAGAGGTTAAAAATAAAATAATTTTTTCCTCAGTGGTCATTTTTTCTACTCCAGTAATATGCATCACATAGCTGAGTAGCACAGAAAGCTGTGTAAGAAAAACACTGTAAAGCTAGACATGAAAAAAGATAAACCTTAAAAAAATCATATGCTTACTTCAAGCACTTTCCAAATTAATACTTTTTTCCTATTTTGAGCAGCTGCTGTTGGATGTCTTTCTAGTCATTCAGGAAAAAACATCATAAACATGCCTTTGATGCAGCATTTACAGTCCCCTTTCCTCTACAGAGTCCAAACTTTCCTATAAACTGCTATTTTCACACAGAAGATGATGAATTTGTCCACTTCACCCCGCTCCATTATTGTCATAGTCAACTATTAAGCACAACCTTAAGCCTTCCTCTTGGACTCTTGTAATGGCTGGAGATATTTTAATTCAAAAGCAGGGGTTAAAGAACTAATAATATTTTAAATATTTAACAGTGAAGAGAGAACTTGTATGGACCGTCATTGCAGGAGAGCTGGCTAGAAAAAGCCATTTAGTTAGCGGGTCCTAAAGATAAAAGTAAGAAAATACATTAGCTGCCTTCCAAAGGTAGCTCAGTGGGTGAATTTCTAAGCAGAAAACCACTGGACTGTTCACAAAAGAAAGACAGAAGTCTCTCGGCATGAATTTGTTCTGGGATTGGATGGTGTGTTTGCATCAAGAAGTCTGACAACCATACCCAAAACAGGAATGTCAGACATAGTAGGTGTCAATTATTCTAATATGACTGGTAATTCTAGAAAGAAAGAAATAGCATGAAAAGGACCTGATGCCTGTAGTTATTGATATTGAATGATTATGTCCCATCTTCTTCAAGCCCTGTACAGGGCAATTCCCAATAAATCTTAAGCAGCAAGGCAAGTAGACACGAGAAACTAAGTAGCTATCATATAAAAACTTCTTTAGAGACTGCTAGGCTGTGCAGGAGAAGCAAGTGAAAATTAAGGTGAAAAGCAGGTTTGGTGAAAAACCATGTCTGCACCACCTTTTTATTCAGAAAATAATGTGCTTTTGGAAGAGAGAGTTTTCATTCAACGTATTAAATGTTGTAAATAAAATTAGTGGATTTTTTTATCATTGCCTATTCGCTTGTGATAGACGGTACTACTCTAAAATTAATATCATATCTACTTGCATTGTCATTAGATAGCAAAGTAAAACATCAAATATAACCAATGCAAAATAATTTATACAAGTAATGGTTGTCAATAACCACATGTATTTGAGAAAACATTTTTCCTTTGTTCTGTTACATAGATGAAAAGATAAATTATGTCAATCTCTACCATGAACTTGCTCTTTCCTTAAAAAAAAAGGTAAAAATGCCTTTGTAAATGGCCAACCTTCAGGTTTTATACATTTATACATATACAAATTTTTTTTTGTATCATACATAATTTACTAATTTTATTTCACTGGGAAGCAAGAAGTTAATAAAACATTTCTGCAAGGCAGTACCTGCAAATAGATATGGAGTGCTTATTACTGCTGGAGTCACAATACCAGAAGAGGTTCACAGCATGACAAAATAGCTTTGTTAGCTGCAAAACTACTTTAAGGCCCTAATTCTTAAAAAAAAATATTAATCCAACTTTATAAAGGTGACTATTGTTTTTTCATGGAAAGGATATAATATGTAGGAGTTATGAGTTTTATATTGGATTGCCAACATGATTTCTTTATAATATTTAGCACAGCGTATGCAAGAAAGTAAATGCTTTATGAAGGAGTTCAACTTCCTTCACATAAATTAATTTTCTACCAAAAATAGCCATAAAAATACACTGGTGGAACAATGATGGATCCTATTAAAATCAACTTTGAAATGAAAGCCGAACTCCTGATAACGGTTGAATGGCCAGACAGTTACTGACACTTTCAGGCGGGATGTATGACAGAAAGAACAGTAGATTGGAATAATAAATTGGAGTAAAAATTTGTGAGTTAATTTTTCGTTGCCTTAACAGTAATTAAAATTGATTTCAGCAAACACTGATAAGGAACAAAAGACTAAGTGTGCAAAAATTGAATCATAAAGATCATATACATTTTTGTTCAGACTAATCAAAGTTTAATACGTAATGTTTAAACTAAAACCTACTGAATTTAGTGGAAGGACTGACTGACATTAGTACACACTGTCTCAGGGCCACAACACTTATGTCTAAGTCTATCAGGTAGCCTAGAGCCAGTGTAAAAGGAAAACATTTTTCTTAGAAAATATAACACACAGAGAAAGAAGTACCTTTAATATGAAACTATATCTTAAAAACTAGATCTTCCAACTGCACTAAAATTCTCAGTTACTTTTAAAATACAAAGCATACATCAACTCTTGGCACAACTTCCTACACAACAAAATTAAGGATAAATAATACACAATACTTACTAATTTTAAAACTTATTCCTACAGCTGTCCTGTGAGGCACAAGACCACCATCACCATTACACATGCATGCACAAAAATCCTTACAAAACTTTTCAGATGTTCAACTTACTAGGAATAGGTCTAAGGACGTCAGGAATGAGAATCTCCACCAAAGCCTGGTACATCACATGGTCACAGTTACACATCCATTTCAGAATAGACTCGTTCTTGCACAGAGTAATCAGCTTTGCTTTTGGAAGTCGACTTTCTATTTCACTCAGATTGCTGATGTGAAAAAATGTAGCAGAGGAATAAATGATAATGCATTTACAGTAGGTAAAAACCTGCAATGGGTGTTAAAATGTATTATTTTATAAAGATGTCATGTATGTCTCAACTACACCCAACAGAACTTCTTTACACATTGTGTCACATGCAAATGGATTTAAAAAATGCCTCAATAGCTCTGCTACAGCTCTTAAATTATGCAGAGGTATGAATGATCTTTTCGGCTTAAAAGAACTGGAGAGAATACTGGGAAAGGAAACCATCACTGTAGTTGTCCAAGCAAAGAAAAAAAAATGGACAACACAATCATTTCAAAACTACACTCTGGCATACACCCAGACTATACAAAAATGCCAGGCAACATAAATTTCATAGCATTTGAAAAAAATTATTACTCTGCAGGTAAATCTAAGAAGATTTTTTTGTTTGATACTTGTATTATATTACCATGAGAAGCAGTAAACAAAGAGAAATACTTACTGACCTTGGTTCAGTAATAGTAGTGCCATCAGGTGGAGCAGAGGGAGAATAGCGCCAGAAAGTTTGCCACAATTTTTCTATCAGGCTGAATTGAAGATTCACAACCACATCCAGTATTGCCTGAGAAAATAAAAACACAAGTACGGATTGTCTTCTATCAAGAAGCTTCCCCCCACTCCCAACTGCAACTAGATCTATAGTTTTTCTTCCTTCATCATGTAGTGGAGCAAAGGCAAAGTGTACATTTCTCAAGTTATAAATAATGTTTTAATACCTTTGATATCCATCAATTATCCAGCACTATAAACACCAGTGCACAGAGACTTGAGTAAGGCCAAGTGCACATGCACAGAAGCCTCCACAAATGAGCATGGCCTATGTAAATGTATCAGAGGAATTCAACCAAAGAAAACATTTAATGCTACTGCAAACACAAAGGAAACCTGCCGTTTTATTCATTTTCAATAAAGGTTTGAAAGTTTCCAAAAATAATTTTAAAAGACATATTGTAATATCAAATGTAACTTAAAAGTCTCAATGTTTCTTTAAAATGAGAAAAAAGTTACTGCTTTTAATATTAAAAAAAAGAAATTATAATTTAACCCGATGTACATTTCCCATTGACTAAACCAAAAATCTGCACGTACAATCTGAAATCTAGTTTCTCTAACATTTTGAAAACATACACATAACTACATTTCATTCTCAGTATATATTACTTTATATTACTTTTTTTCTCCTGTGATGGGGACTCTCCAGAAAAACCTTTTTATTAATGCCCTTTCCAATTAAATAATCAAAATATTCTGGGAGAAAGCCACATACCAGTAACATGGCTGCAATATATTTGGCATCACTGACTTGTACTGACCTTCACCGGAAGTCATGAATTTTAAAAAAAATAAATGGTTTATAGGAAATACCTCACAGTGCTCTCGATAAAGACTCTGCAGTGATTTGATGTCCTCAAAGGTAGTACCGTCTGGTAGAGAAGATATTTCAACTTCTCCAAACTCTGGAAGTACTCGAGATGCATCTGTTACCATGAGAACATAATGAAAGAGAGCTATTGTGAACAGTGCCAGTTACAGTATGATTAAGAAAAAATTTAAGGATGACACAAAGAAATAAGTTGCAAAAGTTCATAACACTCAAAGAGAAAGGTCTTTCATACCTGTTGTATGTTAAAATTGTAAACAAATTCAGCCAGTATTTTTTAATCAAAAAGAAATATAAAATTATTCTTGAAGACATTAAAGAGATGTCATGTACATATTACACCTATATAGAAAAGCTAACACACACGTTTTCAGAATATTGCAGGATGAAGGAAAATATCTATGTCAGTGTATGAAAGATTAATCCTTGACTATTTTTTTTGTTGTTCAGCTGAAGAGTTTCTATATAGCCAGGTATCATAGGGATTAGGAGACTCAATATACATTTTTATTTGAAATTTACTAGACTTGCAAGTAGAGCCAACATGTGCTTTTACTATTTGTCATGACTGTTTCCAAGAGACAAGCTGATACAAGAGAAAAATGCTGGACTGAAAGGTACCCAGGAAAGGAAGATTCAAAACACTTTAATGCTGCCCTTACGTTCCCAATGATTTCAATAACAGCGAAATTAGATCAAAAATCTGGTGCTTGAAAATCCCAACCAAATAAGCCTACAATTTCTGCAATAACACAACCAAAGAGTCTTTCCACATAAACAAATAACTAAATTACCATTTCTTTCTATTACTGAGAATACATGCTTAGCTGGATTGATGAATCCACAACTTGGGACATTTTTAAATGTGAACTTTGGGGTTCTAGTTGAAACTGTTTGGTTCTTTCCACCTATAACACTACAGCACACTTTCAAAACAGCCCACTGGATGGCTAACCTGCAATAGAAATGCAATGCCACTGCCCTGCCTTTTATGAAATAAAATGCACTATAATGAACGTGCAGATAAAAACTTTCACAACAGAAATTTCAAAATGCACGCGTAATATAACTTTGCTCAGCAAATGCATTGTGATTTATACAATAATAAATATATCACACAAATACATAAATTGCATACTTACATGATGCATATTACAGAAAGCTAACAACACAGAACATGTAATTTAAGTGCCTTTTTGTTCTGAGAAAGAATTTTGAAGAGGATATAGTAACTTTAGAAGCAACTACTGTACTTGTGTGACTTGATATTCACAGTGATAATGAAGTTCATCTTACTTATATGGCAGTATAAAACCTGTTTTCATACCTAAAAACTGTTGATGATGTTGACTTTGGGCAATTACAGTTTGTTCAACAGATGTGCCTGTCTGTTGACTGCTTCCTGTGAAGCCATCTGCAACTCCATCCACTTTCTGCATAGGCTTATACCTACAAAAATATCAAGTATAAAATTATCCTTTCTGTTATTTCATAAATAAGATCATACAATCTATGTTAGCTCTTTCTTCTCCATCTCAAAATAAAGTTTTGAGGAAAACTAACAGAAGAATTTACAAATTTTTATTTATTTTGTAAATAAAAGACAATATTATTACTAAGGGAAGCTAGAGCATTAATAATACATTACAGAATTCATAAAGGTGATTTTACAGCACCACTACCAATTTCTCATGGAATTTAGCTTAGGAACAGTATACCATAAGACCAGCTAATTTACACCAAAAAGAATCAAATCTTTCCCTTTCTGAATAGCTTGAGCTCCCATTGTGGTTCAACCCAGCAGGTACCTAAAACAACCACACAGTCATTTGCTCACCCTGCCTCCCCATAGTGAGATGGGGAGAGAATCAGAAGAAAGGTAGAACTTCTGGGTTAACATACAGAGAGTTAAATAGCACAGGGAAAAAAAAAAGACAATAAGAATAAGAATATGCAAAACAAGTGATGCACAGCACAATTGCTCACCACCTGCTGACTGATGCCCCGTTAGTTCCCGAGCCACAGTGCCTCCCTGGCCAATTCCCCCAGTTTATATACTGCACATGATGCCATGTGGTATGGAATATCCCTTGGGTTAGTTTGGGTCAGCTGTTCCAGTTGTGTACCCTTCCCAGCTTCCAGTGCATGAGAAGCTGGACTGTCCTTGACTGCTTAGCAACAACAAAAACCAGCAGTATGTTATGAACATTATCTTCATCCCAAATGCAAAACACAGCACTATACCAGTAATCATGAAGCAAATTACCTTTATCCCAGCCAAAACCAGGACACTTCCCAATAATGATGTCATTCAAAAATAGTATTTCATTATCTTAAGAAAAAACAACACTACTGTCTGAAGATAGTGAAAGACTTTTGAAATCCAACAAACTTCTTGTAAGCATAGAAGGCCTGAGAGCTACTTGGAAACCTAAACTCTTCACTAGTCAATTCTCAGAACCTTTTATGAAAGTCAAAATAATACAAATGGTAATGCTGGTTTGGATGGTCAAGTGTTATCTTGACAATCAACTCTGACAGGCTAAAGATCATGCCTGCCACATTCAACACAACTGAGAATTTACTCTGTCCCAGGTCTTAATGGTAATCTCTTGGATGCTTTGCACTTTTGAAAAAGAATTGAGGCCACAGGAACATAAAACAAGAGAAACCCCAAAGCTAAATAAAGTGTGTTTTAAAAATCATTCAAATCGGAATTGTTGTGCAGACTGTAAAACTCCATGTTAACTTCAGAAATGTGGCAAGAAATTCCACACTAGACGCATTGCTTTGAGAAGCAGTTTGGATCATTTCATTTTCTTTCCAGTAAACAAAAACCAGCATTGTTTCATGTAATTATGAAATTTTACTTTAAAAGGAAGTTCCCATGAAAAATGTCCATTCAGTATTCTA